TCCATTCATCTATTTATAAACACTTGTATAATTTCCACCTTTTGGTTCTTGTAAATAATGCTGCTATGAACGTTGGTGTAAAAGTATTTTTGAGGCCCTATTTTCAAATTCTTTTGGATATATACTGAGAAGTGGAATTAATGGATCATATGGTTAATCTATTTTTATTTTTTTTTGAGGAATGACCATAGCATTTTCCATAGAAGCTGTAGCACTTTACAGTCCCACAGTGGTGCACAAGAGTTCCAATTTCTCCACCTTCTTGCCAACACTTGTTTTTGTTTTTTCAAATAGTAGCCATTCTATTGGGTATGAGATGATATGTTATGGTTTTAGTTTGCATTTCCCTAATGAGTAGTGATGATAGTTTCTTGTGCTTATTGTCCATTTGTATCTCTTATTTGAAAAAATGATTCAGGTCCTTTGTTTTTTGTTTGTTTGTTTTATTGGAGTATAGGTATTTACAATGTTGTATTAGTTTCAGGTGTACAGCATAGTGATTCAGTTTTACATATACATATATTCATTCTTTTGCAGATTCATTTCCCATATAGGTTATTATAGAATATTAAGTAGAGTTCCTTATGTTGTACAGTAGGTCATTGTTGGTTATCTATTTTATATATAGTTGTATGTGTATGATAATCCTAGTATCCTAATTTATCCCTCCCCATCCCCATGTATGCCCTTTGATAACTGTCGGTTTGTTTTTGGAATCTGTGAAACTGTTTTGTAAATAAGTTCATTTGTATCATTTTTTAAATTAGATTCCACATATGAGTGATATCATATGTTATTTGTCTTTCTCTGTGTGACTTACTTCACTTAATATGATAATCTCTAGGTCCATCCATGTTGTTGCAAATGACATTATTTTGTTCTTTTTTAAGGTTGAGTAATATTCCATTGTATATATGTAACACATCTTCTTTATCCATTCCTCTATCAATGGACATTTAGGTTGCTTCCATGACTTGGCTATTGTAAATAGCACTGCAATTACAATTGGGGTGCATGTATCTTTCTGAATTATGGTTTACTCTGGATATATGCCCAGGAGCGGGATTGCTGGATCATATGGTACTTCTATATTTAGTTTTTTAAGGAACCTCCATACTGTTCTCCATAATGGTTGAACTAATTTACATTCCACCAACAGTGTAGGACCATTCCCTTTTCTCCTCACCCTCTCCATCATTTGTTTGTAGATTTTTTGATGATGGCCATTCTGATCAGTGTGAGGTGATACCTCAGTGTAGTTTTGATTTGCATTTCTCTCATAATTAATGATGTTGAGCATCTTTTCATGTGCTTTTGGGCCATCTGTATGACTTCTTTGGAGCAATGTCTATTTTGATATTCTGCCCATTTTTTTTATTGTGTTGTTTGCTTTTGTGACATATTGCTGCATGAGTTGTTTGTATATTTTGGAGATTAACCCCTTGTCGGTCACTTTGTTCACAAATATTTTCTCCCAACCTGTGCATTGTCTTTTTGTTTTGTTTATGGTTTCCTTTGCTTTGCAAAATCTTTTAAGTTTAATTACGTCCCATTTGTTATTTTTGTTTCTTTTTCATTACTCTAGGAGGTGGATCAAAAAAGATATTGCTGTGATTTCCTAATAGGAGGGACTGGTTCCTGCCCAGTGGTGGGTGGAGCTGGGTCTTGTCCCTCTGGTGGCAGGACCATGCTCAGGAAAACTTTAAGCGACTTGTCTGCTGATGGGTGGGGATGTGTTCCCGTCCTGTTAGTTGTTTGGCCTGAGGTGTCCCAGCACTGGAGCCTACAGGCTGTTGGGTAGGACTAACATCAGCCTCCGAGAGGGCTCATGCCAGTGAGTACTCCCCAGAACTGCTGCTGCCAGTGTCTTTGTCTCCACAGTGAGCCACAGCTGCCCCCTGCCTCTGCAGGAGATGCTCCAATACTAGCAGGTATGTCTGGCCCAGTCTTTATGGGGTCATTGCCTTTTTCCCCTCTGTCCTGGTGTACACGAGACCTTGTGTGCACCCTCCAAGAGTGGAGTTTATGTTTCCCCCAGTCCTGTGGAATTCCTGAGATCAAAACCCGCTGGCCTTCAAAGCCAGGTCATCTGGGGGCTCCTCCTCCCAGTGCTTGACCACCAGGCTGGGAAGCCTGATGTGGGGCTCAGAAATTTTACTCCTGTGGGAGAACTTCTGTGGTTTCACTGTTTTCCAGTTTGTGAGTCACCCACCTGGTGGGAATGGGATTTGATTTTATCACAGTTGTGCCCATCATACCATCTCATTGTGGCTTCTTCTTTGTCTTTGGATATGGGTTATCTTTTTTGGTCTGTTCTAGCATTTCTTTGTCAATGTTTGTTTAGCAGTTAGTTGTGATTTTGGTGTTCTCATAAAAAAGTGTGAGCTCACAACCTTATACTCCACCAACTTGAGTTAATCTCATGTCAGAACATGTTCTGCCTGTTTCGCTCTAAGACTTTTATAATGTCTGGCCTTACATTTAGGTCTTTGATCCATTTTGAGTTTATTTTTGTGTATGGTGTTAGAGAATGTTCTAATTTCATTTTTTACATGTAGCTGTCCAGTTTTCCCAGCACCACTTATTGAAGAGACTGTCTTTTCTCCATCGTATATCCTTGCCTCATTTGTCATAGATTAATTGACCATAGGAGCATGAGTTTATTTCTGGGCTTTCTATCTTTTCCATTGATCTATATTTCTGTTTCTGTGCCAGTACCATACTGTTTTGATGACTGTAGCTTTGTAGTATAGTCTGAAGTCAGGGAGCCTTGTTCCTCCAGCTCCGTTTTTCTTTCTCAAGATTGATTTTGTAACTTGGGGTCTTTTGTGTTTCTATACAAATTTAAAATGTTTTATTCTAGTTCTGTGAAAAATGCCATTGGTAATTTGGTAGGGATTGCATTGAATCTATAGATTGCCTTGGGTAGTATAGTCATTTTCAAATTTTTGATTCTTCCAGTCCAAGAACATGGTATATCTGTTCATCTGTCTGCATCATCTTCAATTTCTTTCATCAGTGTCTTTTTTTTTTTTTTTTTTATGCGGGCCTCTCACTGTTGTGGCCTCTCCCATTTGCGGAGCACAGGCTCCGGACGCGCAGGCTCAGCGGCCATGGCTCACGGGCCCAGCCGCTCCGCGGCATGTGGGATCTTCCCGAAACGGGGCACGAACCCGCGTCTCCTGCATCGGCAGGCGGACTCTCAAGCACTGCGCCACCAGGGAAGCCCTCATCAGTGTCTTATAGTTTTCAAAGTATAGGTCTTTTCCCTCCTTAGGAAGGTTAATTGTAGGTATTTTATTATTTTTGATGTGATGGTAAATGGGATTGTTTCCTTAATTTCTCTTTCTGATCTTTCATTGTTAGTGTATAGGAATGCAAGAGATTTCTGTGTATTAATTTTGTATCCTGCAGCTTTACCAAATTCTTGTTTGCCTTTACTGGTGAGCCTTCCCATTTGTAATTTTATTGTTTCTAGTTGTGGCCTTTTCATTTCCTCCTACAGAAGTTCCTTTAGCATTTGTTGTAAAGCTTTTTTGGTGGTGCTGAATTCTCTTAACTTTTGTTTGTCTGTAAAGTTTTCGATTTCTCTGTCAAGTCTGAATAAGAGCATTGCTGGGCAGAGTATTCTTGGTTGTAGGTTCTTCCCTTTTGTCACTTTAAATATATCATGCCACTGGATTCTGGTCTGCATAGTTTCTGCTGAAAAATCAGCTGATAACCTTATTTTGATTCCCTTGTATGTTATTTGTTGCTTTTCCCTTGTTACTTTTAATGTTTTCTCTTTGTCTTTAATTTTTGTCAGTTTGATTAATATGCATCTTGCTGTATTCCTCCTTGGGTTTATCTTGTATGGGACTCTGCACTTCCTGGACTTGAATGAGCATTTCCTTTCTCATGTTAGGGAAGTCTTCAGCTATTATCTCTTCAAATATTTTCTAAGACCCTTTCTCTCTCTCTTCTCCTTCTGGGACCCCTATAATGCAAATATTGGCACATTTACTGTTTTCCCAAAGGTCTCTGAGACTGTCCCCATTTATTTTCATTCTTTGTTCTGTGACAGTGATTTCCATCACTCTGTCTTCAGCTCACTTATTCATCCTTCTGCCTCATTTATTCTGCTATTGATTTCCTTCTAGTGTATTTTTCATTTCAATTATTGTATTGTTCATCTGTTTGTTGTTCTTTGAATCTTCTAGCTCTTTGTTAAACATTTCTTATATATTCTCTGTCTGTACCTCCATTCTTTTTCTGAGATATTTATTATCATTACTCTGAATTATATATATATATTTTTTTGTGGTATGCGGGCCTCTCACTGTTGTGGCCTCTCCCGTTGCAGAGCACAGGCTCCGGACGTGCAGGCTCAGCGGCCATGGCTCATGGGCCCAGCTGCTCCGCGGCAGGCGGGATCCTCCCGGACCGGGGCATGAACCCGCGTCCCCTGCATTGGCAGGTGGACTCTCAACCACTGCACCACCAGGGAAGCCCTGAATTATATTTTTAGGGAGATTGCCTATCTCCATTTCACTTAGCTGTTCTGGATTTTTATCTTGCGCCTTCTGGATATTTCTCTGCCATCTCATTTTGTCTAATTTTCTGTGTTTGTGGTCTCCTTTCTGCAGCCTCCAGTATCGTAGCTCCTTTTGCTTCTGGTGTCTGCCCCCTGGTGGTTAAGGTTGGTTCTGGGGCTTGTGCCTGCCCACTGGTGGGTGAAGTTGGGTCTTGTGCCTATGGGGGCAGGGCCATGTCAAGGGGTGGGTTTAGAGGTGGCTGTGAGCTCAGTATGACTTTAGGAAGCCTGTCTTCAGCAGAGATCTTTCTGCTAGGAACTTTACTCTTAAATTATGAGCATGTCCAGTCCTTTTATGTCATCAAAGTTACCTTACTTTTGAGATCTGCCTACCTACCAGGCTAATATTTTCTTGACATAAGGAAAACATAAATAATCTATTTCTCCAGCTAAGCTAACCCACTTTTTTTCTTTTTGTTTATTCAAGGTTCTGGTGTGAGATGTATAACCACTTTGACAAAGGGCTGCAGCCCAAGCAGAGTATGCTAGAGAGCCTCTTGGAAACTAAGAAGCAGAGATCAATGCTGGAGGCAGATGTGCACAAACTAGAAAAGGTGAAGGGTTAAATCTCAAAATGAGAAACTCTTGCCCCTTCTGAGTAGGCCTAATCCACTGAGAGTTGAATTGGTACTTGTGAGAAGCTGCCTGGCTGGCTTGTTATACTCTCTGATTTCCAAGCATCCTGTGTCTATAAAGCTCTAAGGCACAACTCTTTTTTTATTTCCATATTAAGTGGTAAATATAACACTCAGTTAAACAAGTGGATTGGTTCCCTTTTTGGATCTGGATAGAATTATTAGGAGGAACAAGAGGGAATGACAGGGAAATAATACAAGTATTTGTTATCCATCAATAAGTATAACTTCTTGGGTGTACGAATGAGAACAATGAAATTGTTATATTTCCAATTAGGAAAACCTTATAAAAAATCTGATTTCCTTCCCATGTAGATTATAAACTCTGCTCATTGTACCAGCAAAACCAAAGTCACACACTTGTTTTTAATTAGAGGTTAAACAAGTCAACAGGGATTTCCTTTAAATAAATGGAAAATGCTGAGCTGCTTCTGGAATCCAGAGGTCCCTAAGGGTGTGTTTGAAGTAGAGGGGAGGGATATATTTTAGAAAAGAATTCTTGGAAAGGGTGTGCTGTTTAGGTACTGGGTGTGAAACTCCTTTTGACCAGATAAGGCATAGCTTTTCTGCTCACTGTAATTAAACAAATATCTTTTATTGTGAAAATAAATATTGTGATTACATCAGATCCTAAACTTTTGAATGTCCTCTTGGCAGGTAACAGTCAGTTAATTACTTGGTTCCATTAAAAAAAAAAAAAGAGGAAGGGGAAGGGGAAGGAAAAAACTGAAGCATAACTTAAAATCATAGGAAACAAGCAGCCCCAGGAAGGTCAAGCCCTAGGCAGAACTGAGAAGTAGGAAACCTTTTTCCTAATGTCTGCTGCCTCCTTTTTTACCTATTAGCAACCTTCTCCACAAGGTCTCCCAAGCAGGTCTCCTATTCTAAACCCAGACCTTTCACTTATTCCTGCCTAATTCCTGAGAGAATCAGATTCATTCTAGATAGAATCAGATTATTTTCTGATTCTAAAGTTCAAAAGTAAGTAAGGCTTCCTTTTAAAATAATAACTATTGGGCTTCCCTGGTGGCGCAGTGGTTGAGAGTCTGCCTGCCGATGCAGGGGACATGGGTTCGTGCCCTGGTCCGGGAAGATCCCACATGCCGCGGAGCGGCTGGGCCCATGAGCCATGGCCACTGAGCCTGCATGTCCAGAGCCTGTGCTCTGCAACGGGAGAGGGCACAATAGTGAGAGGCCCACGTACCGCAAAAAAATAATAATAATAATAAAATAATTATTATTAATATTCATTTTTTAATACAGAAAAGATAAACAAAAGCAGCCCAACAGATAACCCTGTTGACGTTTAAAAAAAGGCAGTACAAGTATATAGTTAGAATATGCAGAATACAAAAATGTACAAAATGGAACGTTGAAAAAACTCTCCCAGCCACCTACCCATTCAGTTTCTCTCTCCAAGTGTTATCACTCTGTGTGTGTGTGTGTGTTGTGTGTGTGTGTGTGTGTGTGTGTGATTTTGTGATTTCCAGGAAAATAAGAGTGGTATGCTTATACCCTAAGGCAGGAGCTCTTAACTGGAGTCCATGAACCCATAGATGTCCACAGATGCCCTTCAGGGGATCTGTGAAACCCCCGAAATTATACCGAAAAACTGTGTGCCATCTCATCCACTCATATGTGAATTCATGCAGTTTTCTGAGAAGAAGGTTCATCATTTTCTTCAGATTTTCAAAGGTGTCTATGACTCACAAAAAGTTAAGAATCACTGTTGTAAAGTATCAGTGAATCATTGTGTTATCCCTGAAGGTGAAAATATCCTTTGGAGATAGCATGAAGTAGTAGACAGATAATAGACTTTGGCATTAAGAAGAGGCAGGATCAGATCCCAGCTCTACCACTTCCTAAATGTGTGAATTTGGGGTCACTTAAATTCTCTGAGGCTCAGTTTCCTCATCTGTAAAATACAGGTAATTCCTAACTAATAAGACTCTTAAGTATAAAAGGAAACACTATATGTAAAGTGCCTGGCACATGGAGGTATTCAATAAATGTCAGTGATCCTTTCCCTTGCCCTCCCTGCTCCCAGTAATAAAATTGCATTTATCAGAAAAGGGAACTTTTATATATACAAGACCCTTGAGGGTCTTTAGTAGTAGGGCTTTTAAAGCACTATGTCGAGTGATGAATAAAAGATGTTTGAGGATGAGGAAGGGGCAAAAGGTCATTTTCTACCATATAAGTGACAGCAGGCAGGATCCCTATAGGTCAATGTGATATTTGCCTAGTTTTACTCCAGTTTCTAATTCTTTTCAACCATTCCTTGTTCCCATGACAGAAAGTGAAAGCCCATGATGAGCCACAAGAAGAATTCTGTACCTGCTCTCAATTAGGGCATTTATTATCTCAACACCTTGGAACTCCTTTAACCAATCCTCTCAGCTTTATGGGTATTGATGGAGACCTGAATACCTTGATGGAGAATGGCACTCTTTCTAGGGAAGGAGGCCTTTGAGTTCAGATGGATCAAGTAAAAATCCAGTGTGCAGACCTCCACCCTGACTATTATGGGACCATGGGCAACCTTAGGCCCATAAACATTTCTGGGGATGTCGGCTTCTCTGGAGGCACAGGCATCTATGGTGTCTCAGGCATCTCTGGCAACACGGGCACCTCTGAGGCTATGGGCTTCTATGAAGACATCAGCATCTCTGGGGCCATGAGCTTCTCTGGGACCACAGGCATCTCTGAAGACACAGGACTCTCTAAGGCCATCACCAAGGAGGAAGGTTTCTCTAAGCAACAGTGAGCTATTCATCTGCTTCCATATTAGGTGCAACTGCAACACCCACAATGATCCTTGTCTCAAAAAAGGCTGTGCTGCTTTTCTAATTGGATTAAATGGGCAGGGCCAGGGCACCCCTCCTCCCAGTTAAGAATCTGGAAGGGGATTTAGGGCCTTTACTAGTTAAGCAACCAGTATATGCATGTCAAGCAGGCCAGAATATAGGCAAGAGAAAGAATACGTTATTATTCTAGAATGGGATTTAGCTTTAAAAATATTGCTTTTCAGCTGAGATATTAGGCTGGTTCCATTATTCCATTTTCCTTAAAGATCAGCCTCCCTTACATGAGGAAGATGAGAACATATAGCATGAGAACAAGTTGTAATATTGTCACAGTGGAGTATTAAGACCCTGTTGAGGGGGTGGAGAGATGGTGTGCAACAGGGAACTGAATTGCAGAATAGCTTAAAAGAAAATTTTACTTGCAATTATATTTAGTCATACAATGTAAGCTAACATTATTGCCAATAGAGACCCCAATATTTGCCTGAGAAATAAATCAAAACGATCCATGGGGGCTTCCCTGGTGGCGCAGTGGTTGAGAGTCCGCCTGCCGTTGCAGGGGACACGGGTTAGTGTCCCGGTCCAGGAAGATCCCACATGCCGCGGAGCGGCTGGGCCCGTGAGCCATGGCCGCTGAGCCTGCGCGTCCGGAACCTGTGCTCCGCCACGGGAGAGGCCACAACAGTGAGAGGCCCGCATAACGAAAAAAAAAAAAAAAACAAAAACAAGATTCATGGGTGCTTGGTGGTTTAGAACATATAAGAAAATAGTTTTCTTAAGTTACAACCCTTGTTTTCCCCAACTCACACCCTGGTTAGGTCTTATAATACTCAGCCAAATCCCTTTTTCATAGATAGCCCATTGATAAACTTAAATCCACTACATTCTAAAATGATCAATTCCAAAAAGTGAGGTCTGAATTAATAATATTGATCAATAGCATTCTCAACATCAGTTCAGGAGACAACTGAAAATCTCAGTGCTTTAGACCCTGGCTTGCACATGGCATATGTGCTCATCTAAGTTTTCCTAAAACAGGACTGTTCTTAGGTCTTTTTTTTTTTTTGGCCATACCACGTGGCATGTGGGATCTTAGTTCCCTGACCAGGGATCAAACCCGTTCCCCCTGCAGTGGAAGCATGGAATCTTAACCACTGGACTGCCAGGGAAGTCCCTCTTCTTAGGTCTTTTTATGAAGTCCAGTGGTTTTACTTCCCTAGACATCACATCAAGTTTGTGGATTTTTAGACATAATTGGCACTACTTTTAAAATCTGGTAGTCTTAACACCTTGTGCTAATGTACACTTTTGAAAAAAGTCTATTCTTAAAGCATGCCCAAATACTCCAGGGAGAAGGGGATGTGTTGTTTAAACACCAAACTTTCCCCCATTTGGGGTTGATACACGCTGTACACTTTCCTATTGGATATCCAGTCATAGTTTACCCACTTCCACATGCTGGGGTAAGGTGAGTCTTGGGTAGTTTGGGTCGTGCACTACATATTGTCAGTATTTTCAGAACTCCCATTGCCAATAGCATCCATGTCTTCACCTAAGATGTCTATTCTGTATACCATATGTCTGGTTTAAGCTAAAAAATTAGATGTCAGTGAAAGAGCCACCTCTGTTACTACCATATCCATTTATAAATACAGACATCTCTGAAGGATCACCTCATTCGTTACTTTTCTCTATAAGAAAGAGGGATCTTTTAATCGAAGTGTTAGAAGTAGCAGAGAAGACCAAGGATAGTTCCTTGATTTCTTACCCCTAGCTAAACTATGGACATAAAAAAATATTCCTATTTAGAAGAACTCTAAGTCATTTTGGTTGTCTTTTTTTTATACGTAAATAGGGGCCATTTTTCTACTTATCTCTCCTTGATAGCTGCCTTGTTCCTATAATTTTAAAACATCAATGTGATTTCCTATTGTATCTTCTCATCCCCTCTTTCCACTGTTTGGTCTTTGGCTTGTATAACATAAATCATCAGATGTTGCCAGTTGTCATTTTACTTCTTACTTCTGGAAAAAAATTGGGATTTGTATAAGTCATTTTGATCTGAAAGCTCCATCTAAACCCTGGTTTTGTGAAGGAAGTTATCAAAGAGGATGACAATACCAATCATCTGCTACAAATGAGTTTATTCTGGATCTTGCTTTATACCCAGGGCTTTCTCCCATATCTCAATCTGAATTTTATAGTCCATTAACTAGTATGATATTTCCAATAGTGTGTTAAGGTCTTTTCAGAGAAATAAAAAAGGCAAATGACCTTTGCAAATCCTATAAAAAGTTAGTTTAAGGGTCTCAGATTTATTTCTACAGACCTGTACAAGGGTGGCACATAGTACCAAACCTTATTTCTTAGATCCAAAACAAAATTAATCATTAGTGACAAATTCCTTTCAATATAGTTCTAGACTGAGAAGTGGTGAAGAGCAACACTGCTATTCCAGTCAATTTGTTTGGTCTTTTATTATTTTTATTCCCCAGCATGTCCTATGTTACCTGTATATGACAAACATGGAACTAAGGAAAACCTTGTAAAAATCCCCTATTTACTCTCAACACATAACACCTCCGTTTTACAGTTGGATTTGTAAATCTGAAGGAGGAAAAATGTTCAGTAGAATCCAAATATTTATGCACTGGTAAAAACTCAGTAGCTATCTGTAGTCAGGAGCCTAGCAATAGAGGGGAGGCTCCTGAAGGAAAGTTACTGGGTGTACTAGAAAATATCATCTATTAATGGCTTTCATTTCATACCCTCATATAGCACCTATGCTGTTAAAGAAATGTGATGCCCTCTGCCACTGCCCTACCCTTCCAGTTCCCTGAGCAGAAAATTCCATTCTCATGTGACTGCCTGACTTAAATAGGAAGGCATTTAACCACCTGCCACTGTCTCATCCATGAACCTGACATCTGCCTGTTTCTTACACAGCTTACATGGGCCTGGGGTCACTCCTTATCTTTTCCAAGCATGAGGCAGGCTCTGTGCCTGGGAGTGTGGCCATGCTCAGATTCTACATGAACACCTTTCTTAAAAATTCATTAAGTATTAGTTTATAGAATAGCAGATTCCTTGTGGTAATAACTAAAACAAGCCTAAATAACAAACCTAAGTAACAGCTTTTTAAAGAAGAAATTCAAGGATGGGGTTTGCTGTATGAAAGAAAGCATGAAACTTTATTTGGCACTAACTGGGCAAGAACGTAAAGCTTATGGTACATGTATTAGGCACAGGTATCTTTTGGAAAGTCACCCTAGAAACTGTTCAATTACTACCAAGTCAGTTGTCATGCCTGTCAACATGCATGGACATATTTTGTCTAAGAAACACTTCACATTTCACTGAATGTAAGATCTTTCCTTGAACACTCCCAACCAGAAGGAATCCAAGTCTTTTTATGAGTTGCTTTCAAACCAGATTGGTAAATATTTAAGCTTGGCCTGAATTTAGCAGACAGAGAAGTTTAATAACTATGTCCGATCTTTATTACATAGTGAATTTTATTAAACACATAACACCTTTTCTTGATGCTATTAAGCTTTGATGTACCACTGGGAAATCTTTCTGAGAGCATTTTATAAAGTGGCATTTTATAAAAACTGTTGTGTAGGGAAAAGTAA